TTTTTTTATTTATTTATTTATTTATTTTTAATACGTTGTATATGTACCACCATTCAAAAGTTTTGAAGTCAATAAATGTTTTATGTTATAGAAAGAAGACTTTTTTTACGCTCACCAAGGCTGCTTTTATTTGATCAAAAATACAGAAAAACTGTAATATCTTGAAATATTATTACAATTAAAATGTTGAAAATATTCTAAAATGTCATTTATTCCTGTAATGCAAAGCTGAATTTTCAGTATCATTACTCCAGTCTTCAGTGTCACATGATCCTTCAGAAATCATTCTAATATGCTGCTTTATTATTATTATCAGCATGGAAAACAGATGCTACTTAATATTTTTGTGGAAACTGTGATACTTTTTTTTCCAGGATTCTTTGATGAATAGAAAATTCAAAAGAATACCATTTATTTGAAATAGAAATCTTTGTCACTTCTGATCAATTTAACATCATTAACGTCACCATATTAACATAATTGCTGTATAATAGTAATTTCTTTATTTAAAAAAAATTGTGCTAACCCCAAACATTTGGTATACGGTGGTATATATAATTTTTTATAAATATTATTAAATATAATGTATTAAAAGTATTGTTTTTCCTGCTCACATTACAGCAGCAGAAATAAATATTGAAAATATTAATAATTACTACATGCATTACATAATGTAAAAAATTATATAAATGTTCATTGTCATATATTATGTATAATTTACTGTATGTAAATAGTATACATAATTTAAACTATAAATATTAAGTATTCGCCATAAATTAAATAAAAACAATTCTTGCACTGATGAATCTGTAACAATGATTAATAAAATAAATGTGTATCTCACAGTGTTCAGTAAACGTCCACAGTACAGATTCACTGAGACTTCCGTCTTTTATATCTTTTATAGAGAATGATTCCGTTCCAAATCCCAGTGGATTCCGCATTACCACGCTGTGAACCCAATCTCCCCACACCTGAGACAGGTACCGCAGCTTTCTGCTGTCAGATAACAGCCGTTACACTTGAGTCGGTTATGTACAGCTCAGTGACACGTCCTTTTGTTGCTCTGTGTGTGTGTGTGTTGAGTAGGATCTCTGTGCAAGAACGTGAGGTCACTGTCTCCCATGCCAACCGCCCGTTCCCCTCAGAAGGTGACTAGTTTATGCTTAATTCAATCTCTGTTAATAGCTGGTGTTTCTTAATGAAGTTTGTCCTTTGTTTTGCTCTGCAGTCAATGGTCCCGCCCCTCACGCCCTCTCCGACCGATAGCTTGCCGATGGGGAGCCTGGCATCTCACTCTCCTGCCCGCTCTGGCAGCTACAGCAGCGGGATCTCATCCCTCAGCCGCTGCAGTGTCTCTGAAACGTGCGGGATCGACCTCCCGCCGCCCGACCCTCCTCTACCCACCGCCGTCCCCGCAGACGTGCCCATTCGCCGGGGTAGCAAGACTCCTCCGCCCTACAGCGTCTATGAAAGGAACAATCCCCGGCGAGCGACGCCACTGCCTCACAGTCTGTCAGTGCCACCCAGTACTGACAACCCCAGCCTGACCGCCAAACACCAACTGAACCGCGTGCAGCGCATTAATTCAGAACCCCGTCACCGGCCCACACCCAGGAAGGTCTCTCAGCTGTAGCGCGTCAGCGGTAACCGGAAACTTGGACTACGTCGCATTTTTTGTAAAATAACTGTAGGTTATGCATCATAATTGGAAATGTTTTCAAATGCAAGGAGGTGCATTTTTGTGGAGGATAGGGAGTGGCATATAAATACATCTTTTTTAAATCTTTTAAAAAAGAGTGTCAATTAGAATGTACATGTCAATAAATAAATCAAAAAAATGTCAATAAATTTGTCAAAGTCCAAAGCAAAAATGTCATTTGAAAGTAATTTATTTATTTATTGACACATTTCCTGCTTTATTTAGACTATATATAAATAATCAAACAAGTAAATAAATAAATAAATGTTAATAAATCTATCATAGTCCAATACAAAAATTTAATTTAAAAGTTATGAATTGACACGTTTCATACATTATCCACATTTCAAATATTTTAAACAAGAGTGTCAATAAATAAATGATGTCAATAAATAGATAAATATTAATACATCAAAGTCTTTTGCAAAATATTTATTTTATAATTGTATTTATCAAATAGGCAATTTAAGTTATAAAACAATTTAATTATTTTAATTTATTAAATAAAGTTAATACATGAGTAAATTCATTGGACTTTGGACTATGTATTTATTGACACGCATTTCATGATTTATTTATAATTTTTTTAAATTTATTGACAAAAGATTTATTTATTATTATGTCACTCTCAGTCCTCCATACGTTTTGATTTTTAATTTAGCAATTTGTATTCTAAAATCAAAATGAAAGTAAAACGGAATGCTCACATGATGAATGTTTTCCTTTTTTGTTCATTGATATTAAGTAGATCATCTTAATTTCATTTTAAAGCTGCATATTTGGTAGTTGAATGACTATTTTGTGGATCGGCTCTTTAGACCCAGTCTAAAATGCAGCTCAGAATTGTTCTTCACCGATGAACTGAGCAGTCCTTCTGATATGCAGTTACGGCTTGAAATGAAATGTACTAGAAAAGCCATGAAGAGATTATGTACGCTTTTAAATGGCATGTAATTTACAGCAAAATCTGAAGATCTGGCAGGTCCATATCCCATTTAGAGAGCTCTGAAACATATTGCTAGCAAGGTATTTTTGATAGAAGTACAAAATCAGTGTTGTACAGCTTTTATTTCCACACTACAGCAGTTTTTTTTTTTTGGTCTTACACAAACCGAGGCGTACAGCTAGACCTGTGTCCCGTTTTAACCGCTTTGTACTTTCTGGAATGGCTAAAAGGTGCTACATATTTCTTAGTGTTTGGTTTTTTTCTAATGTAGCCTCGTATCTACCGAAACTGCCTGACCGTTTAAATGTGCCAATGTGATGAAATTGTGTGGTCTCTGAGTATTGTGCCAAAGATGCAAACAGTATTAACTTCTTTGTCAGTGAGAGTAGTTAGGAAAATTTAACTGAAGTTAGCGTGGCCGCTAGTGCTCAACAATGTGCTTCTTAAACCATGTGCAGAGGCGTAGATCAAGACTGCATGGGGCATGAGCAGTACAAAGCAATATAACGGTTGTAGTTTCCAGAGAGTGATAGAAACAAACATCATCTAGTTCTGAGATGACTTTTCCCAGCAGCCTGATCCCAAATCAGGTTATGTTGCCGCAGTCACTTCCAAACAATATTGGCTAGATCAAATCTGTCTTTCTTTCTCCTTTAAATGTTAAATCTGACAGAACTTTTTGCATAACGGTCAGAAATTCAATTTGGGATCTTATTTGGACTCTAGGTTGTAGATAATAAACACAAAGTTTAGGAAATGCTGTGTGGAATTGATGTTCACTTATATTGTTTTACCTTTAATATTGTTTCAGTATTTGTTTTCTTTAAAAAAAAATAAATAATAATAATTTGATTTTTTTTTTTTACATCGCATTTTCATAAAAAAAAAGTATTTTCTTATTTTATGTGTAGTTTTTATCATGGAAACATACTAAAAACATTAAAACATTCATTTTTATTGCTAACAAAGCCAACATGATCAGAATATACCAACTTGATCGGACAGGAAAACGTAACTATATTACGAGGTGGCGATTTCGTTGGAATTCATACGATGTGAATCTTATGAAAATGTATGATTTTCGTCAAAAGTAAGCATGAAGGTCCACCCTTAAACATAACCGTCACTGGGTGTAAACAAATCATATGAAAACGTTCAAATGAGATCATACAAATTAGGCACCGATTTGTCAAAATGTAAAATAGTTAGAAATTGCCATGCGAGTGTGTTGCTACATCTCTTCCTACGAAAGAAAACTAGCCACATTTTGATGTAAAATTGATAGTAACAAACAGCTTTTTCACTGCCAGCTTGAAAGCCCACAATTCTTTTAATAAATATTGGATGATAAATATTTGATCAATTTAGTCGTTAAAATGCAACTTCAAAACACGCAGCAGCCTTTGTGAATCTCGGCTGTCAGTTTACATTTTTGATCATGTGTAGACAATTGAAATGGTCTGTCCTTGATAAAAATATCCCTTGTGATTTTATTGTATTTTTGTAGATAAATACAAAGTTCAAAGTGCTGTATTTTTGGCAACCTAAAACATTTGAAGTGTGAGGAATTGAACTAATGTTGGAATGATTATGAAATACTGACAGATGGGCACCGTAACCGATTCGTTTGTTACCTATTTTATTAACAGCTTTGCAGCTATGCTCTCATATTGCCATGTTACGAGAGTTGCTCATTTTCGGCAATCATGTTTTGTAATTTCGATAGATTGCCAATGGTCAAGTCGTAGGACTTCAACTCTAGTCACGCTTGTATTTCTCCTCTCCTGTTCTCTCCTTTCACCCTCCTTTTTATGGATTATACTCTTTCTGTTCAATTTTTTGAACTTGTAAAGTTGTACTTTATATCATACGATGGGATGAACGTATTCCATATAGCCTGTGTTACAGATTTTGTACAAAAGGTGTTTATATGTAAATGTAACTAGTTCATAGCTTTGAATGTTGCAACTAAAGTTTTTATTTGTAAATGTTGAATATTAACCATCAAACAAATAAAGGTTGATTGATGTAAACTGTGAGTTTTTATAAATTATTGCACCTTTTGAGATCCAATACGATTAACACGTTTACTATGTTTAAACTTTTACCACAGCTTCTTTAACTGTTTGACAGAGTTCCCATTTTATTTTATTATGGTTAACTAGTATTTTGATGTAAACTTCAATGTTGGAAGTTTCAATGAACTTTAAAGGATCGAAATGTACATCTGCCAAACATTAGTTACATTAAAAACAGTATTGTAATTTTTTTGGGACATATTACCAAAGTAATACCATGTTTTGTGGATGCTATATTTTGTTTAATTAAAAACAAGGCTATGGAGGCATAGTCTGTATAAGGGGTTGTAATGTTTTTCACATTATACTGATATTTTTAATAGATTTATTATCATTATTATGATTATTAATATATTTGTAATTGTTATATGTTTCAAATAATTCTTAGTAACAAAAAATCATACATATAAAATATACTGAAAATCACATGTAACAAACTTTTGATCCGATATCTACCTCACAGCCTCATTTTTCATAAAAATGAAATATGAATGCAATAATGTGTAGTATTTTTTTTGTTTTTTCTGTCCTGAAAATGTTTCAAATTTCTAAATCAAATATAATTTCTTTTAAATCTCACATTACATTTATTTTTAATCTTAAATATTACATTAATTATAATATGTAAAATATTAATTTAAATAATTATTTCAATAAAAACGCGTTATATTTTACATTTTAAATATTTTTATTATTGTATTTAAAACGTAATTATTTTTGTACGTAAAACTGAAATATTTACTTTGAAATTATTGTACACATTATAACACATTTTTAATTCTAGTCTGCTCCAGCTAATATTATGAATGAGGAGGGAGGGCTTTAGGACCCGGAAGCAGCGAGGGTAGTGTCGTACTGAACGGAGCGACGTACAGCACACATACGTAAAGACATTAGGTGAGTGTATTGACACGCGTCTGAAATAATTGATATTCAGCATTCAGACCTTATTAGTGCTGAAGGGTTTATGCTTCACTTTTGCTTATGTATTATAATTGTATCCACCGTTATGAAGTTTATCACACACCCACTGCTTGCCCTTGTTTATAGTGGTAGCCACATGACCTGCGTGGTCGCCATAAACACTAAACTACAGGAGGATTTACTGATGTAGGGTGAATTAGTGTCGCAGTTTTCAACTTAATACACAGCCAAATTAAACAATAGAGATGTAAAAAAAATATGACAACTTATTGTACATTTGCTAATGTAGTAACTGTGTTGTTTGTACATCCGATCTGTCAGAGCTCAGGCTGTCTCAAAACTTGTAGTTCGTTTGTATACGTGCCAGAACTACTACAAATGGTAGTATACTACACAGTATACTATATCCCACAATGCAGTGCACTTTACTCAACCTTCCATTTTCAAGTTGTTTTTCAGTAACAATTGTAAACGTTTAATTTAAACAGACAGTTGTAAGTCAAGACATTTTTACAAAAAATTATATTAAAAATGGGAAATAATAGTTTTATATCCGGAAGGGTAACGTAACAGCACTTGCTAAATTAAACATGCAATATAAAAAGGTTATGTAAAGGTAATACAGTATAATAGCATGTTAGAATTGTATGTATATGTATGCTTACACTTTCTTTTAAAAAGTAGTAGAATTGAGTCATATTTGACCATAGACATTTAAAGCACACCTATTATGCCCAAAAATATTGATTGTCCCAAATGTGTTTATGCCTTCTAGGTTGGGAGCTCATTATGTTTTGAGACGCAGGCATTGCTTGTTTGCCTCCCTTCACAGTCACTCAGTTCAGGAGTAAAGATCAGTATCATTTAATTTTTGCCATATAGATCTCATATAAAGGTATGTGAAGACAGTGATATAAAAAGAGGTCATTCTCCCATACGAGTGCTGGATTTAGTTTCTAGGTTAATTAATTAACGAAGCTACCCTAATGAATAAGATTATTTTGAATTTCTAATCAGTAGCTTTTGAAAACATCACTTCAAATTGGCTTTGCACTATAAAATGGTTGTTTCAATTAAAGGAATATTTAGTATATATTAAATATATCAGATCATATATTATAATATAATAAT